CTGTCAAAGGGCAAAATCATGAATGAAAGGCTGATAGGTGGGGAATGGCTCAGAACAAAGGAAACCATAGGACATGGATTATTTGTTGGGGGAATGAGAACCAGCAAGTCAACTCCCAGAGAAAACCAACCCAAAAGAGGGCACCCTGCAAAACAAAATGACACCCATGTGTTAAAGAGAAACCCCAAAGAAATGTAAATTGGGACACGAACCCCCCCCCCCCCCCTCAACATAGTTGGTTCCTTCTGGGAAACCACCTAAACAGGACGCACCCTTTTGGTCTCCCTGCATTTTTGTTTTTTCATTGGCAGCACTGCAGCAAGCCCGATTTTAGGCAGCTGGTGAATGCCGGGCATCTGATTGCTTCAGCGCTTTACACGTGCTCTTGCACCTACCAACCCCGCGATGCCTTCGCAGCGCTTGTGCAACCACATGATTGCCTGTACACGTCCCTGTACATGTCCCTCTGAGGGAACCATTGCCACGGGCTGGAAATGAAGACGCAACCAGATGTCAGATTCAAAACGGCACAAAACGTGCTGCAAGTGGACGCTTCCGCTCACTTGCACACGCCTGAAGGCGCTTTGACCTTCCTGGTCGGCCGAGGGAAGGCTTTGCGGCGACCATCCCTGAAAATCACAGGTTTGTACTCCTCAGGAACACTCTTGTGCATGACGGGGCTGTTTCGGTACCGATCCACGTGAGACTTGAATCCTTGGTGGGGACCACTCCAGCTCACTTGGCAGACCTTGCTCGTTGGCATCGACCATTCGGAGAACCCATCCAGCGCCTTCCACACAGCATCCACTGCAGCACTGTCTACCATGTTCACAAAGGCATAGCCAAGGTTTGCCGCACGGTGGAAGTCGCAGGGCAGGTACACAAAGTCATAGCGCCCTGCTAGACCTTGCTCATCAAGCAAAGTCAGCAGCATCTCGCGAGTGTAGTTGTTGGGCAAATTGCGCAGCATCACGGTGGTCCTCTCGGTTGTCGAACTTTGCCTGGGGACGTCTTGCCGGGCATCTCTGGGTTTGCTCTTAGGCTCAACCACGACCTTGCCTTGAGTTTTTTGCGTTGCCTCTTCGGCAGCAGTGCGGCTTCGAGCTTCATGTTCCTCTTGCTGGTCGCTGAACTTGCCCGGCTCGTACACTTCCGGTGCCACCAAGACTCCTGCCAGAACGCTATCTGTCATGACCCGCCGGAGCTTCCTGTAACAAAGAGCCATGCTTTCATCGTCAAAGTCAATGAAGGTACTCCTCACCACAACGTGGCAAGAGCATGTCTCCTCACCTTCCTCGTGCACTGGCTCAGTCGTTGCACTGGAGCGAGGGGACAAGGATTCTGGAGAACTGCTCCCTTCAACGGTTTCAGCATCGCTGGGCACCGTGGCCACCGTGTTCTCTACGACACTGTGGCTCAACTTGCCCATCTGCACGAAAACAGAAACCATGGCAGCGGTGCTGAACACTGTGCCAAGCTTCTCCCACACTCTGAGCCTGGCTGGTTTGCCTTTTGGTCTCCCAGTATGCCAACCTAAAAATTGCGGCGTCTCCACAAAACCATACCCATATGTCCCCCCAAAAAAAAACATGCTTGATTCCCTTCTGGCAAACCCCACGTCAAACAAACCTAAAAAGGACACACCCTTTTGGTCGCCCTGTATTTTGCTCGTTCTTTTGGCATCACTGCAGCACTGCATTCACAAAGCTCAAGACCACCGCCCGTAGGCAGCTAATGCCGGCCATCTGATTGCTTCAGCGCTTTACACGTGCTCTTGCACCTACCAACCCCGCGATGCCTTCGCAGCGCTTGTGCAACCACATGATTGCCTGTACACGTCCCTGTACATGTCCCTCTGAGGGAACCATTGCCACGGGCTGGAAATGAAGACGCAACCAGATGTCAGATTCAAAACGGCACAAAACGTGCTGCAAGTGGCCGCTACCGCTCACTTGCACACACCCGAAGGCGCTTTGACCTTCTTGGTCGGCCGAGGGAAGGCTTTGCGGCGACCATCCTTGAAAATCGCAGGCTTGTACTCCTCAGGAACACTCTTGTGCATGACGGGGCTGTTTCGGTACCGATCCACGTGAGACTTGAATCCTTGGTGGGGACCACTCCAGCTCACTTGGCAGACCTTGCTCGTTGGCATCAACCATTCGGAGAACCCATCCAGCGCCTTCCACACAGCATCCACTGCAGCACTGTCTACCATGTTCACAAAGGCATAGCCAAGGTTTGCTGCACGGTGGAAGTCGCAGGGCAGGTACACAAAGTCATAGCGCCCTGCTAGACCTTGCTCATCAAGCAAAGTCAGAAGCATCTCGCGAGTGTAGTTGTTGGGCAAATTGCGCAGCATCACGGTGGTCCTCTCGGTTGTCGCACTTTGCCTGGGGACGTCTTGCCGGGCATCTCTGGGTTTGCTCTTAGGCTCAACCACGACCTTGCCTTGAGTTTTCTGCGTTGCCTCTTCGGCAGCAGTGCGGCTTCGAGCTTCATGTTCCTCTTGCTGGTCGCTGAACTTGCCCGGCTCGTACACTTCCGGTGCCACCAAGACTCCTGCCAGAACGCTATCTGTCATGACCCGCCGGAGCTTCCTGTAACAAAGAGCCATGCTTTCATCGTCAAAGTCAATGAAGGTACTCCTCACCACAACGTGGCAAGAGCATGTCTCCTCACCTTCCTCGTGCACTGGCTCAGTCGTTGCACTGGAGCGAGGGGACAAGGATTCTGGAGAACTGCTCCCTTCAACGGTTTCAGCATCGCTGGGCACCGTAGCCACCGTGTTCTCTACGACACTGTGGCTCAACTTGCCCATCTGCACAAAAACAGAAACCATGGCAGCGGTGCTGAACACTGTGCTAAGCTTCTCCCACACTCTGAGCCTGGCTGGTTTGCCTTTTGGTCTCCCAGTATGCCAACCTAAAAAATGCGGCGTCTCACAAAACCATACCCATATGTCCCCTTTAAACAACCACCAAAAGGAAGCTCACTTTCTGAGAAAGCCAGGGGAAAAGTAGAGAACCCTGCTAAAAGTTTTGCAGAGGAGGGACTATCCCTGGATAAGCCATTCGAAGCCAGCGCCTTTTGGGTTTGTCAAAATTGGGACCCGAACCCCCCCCAAAAAACATGCTTGGTTCCCTTCTGGCAAACCCCACGTCAAACCAACCTAAAAAGGACACACTCTTTTGGTCGCCCTGTATTTTGTTCGTTCTTTTGGCATCACTGCAGCACTGCATTCACAAAGCTCAAGACCACCGCCCGTAGGCAGCTAATGCCGGCCATCTGATTGCTTCAGCGCTTTACACGTGCTCTTGCACCTACCAACCCCGCGATGCCTTCGCAGCGCTTGTGCAACCACATGATTGCCTGTACACGTCCCTGTACATGTCCCTCTGAGGGAACCATTGCCACGGGCTGGAAATGAAGACGCAACCAGATGTCAGATTCAAAACGGCACAAAACGTGCTGCAAGTGGCCGCTACCGCTCACTTGCACACACCCGAAGGCGCTTTGACCTTCTTGGTCGGCCGAGGGAAGGCTTTGCGGCGACCATCCTTGAAAATCACAGGCTTGTACTCCTCAGGAACACTCTTGTGCATGACGGGGCTGTTTCGGTACCGATCCACGTGAGACTTGAATCCTTGGTGGGGACCACTCCAGCTCACTTGGCAGACCTTGCTCGTTGGCATCAACCATTCGGAGAACCCATCCAGCGCCTTCCACACAGCATCCACTGCAGCACTGTCTACCATGTTCACAAAGGCATAGCCAAGGTTTGCTGCACGGTGGAAGTCGCAGGGCAGGTACACAAAGTCATAGCGCCCTGCTAGACCTTGCTCATCAAGCAAAGTCAGAAGCATCTCGCGAGTGTAGTTGTTGGGCAAATTGCGCAGCATCACGGTGGTCCTCTCGGTTGTCGCACTTTGCCTGGGGATGTCTTGCCGGGCATCTCTGGGTTTGCTCTTAGGCTCAACCACGACCTTGCCTTGAGTTTTCTGCGTTGCCTCTTCGGCAGCAGTGCGGCTTCGAGCTTCATGTTCCTCTTGCTGGTCGCTGAACTTGCCCGGCTCGTACACTTCCGGTGCCACCAAGACTCCTGCCAGAACGCTATCTGTCATGACCCGCCGGAGCTTCCTGTAACAAAGAGCCATGCTTTCATCGTCAAAGTCAATGAAGGTACTCCTCACCACAACGTGGCAAGAGCATGTCTCCTCACCTTCCTCGTGCACTGGCTCGGTCGTTGCACTGGAGCGAGGGGACAAGGATTCTGGGGAACTGCTCCCTTCAACGGTTTCAGCATCGCTGGGCACCGTGGCCACCGTGTTCTCTACGACACTGTGGCTCAACTTGCCCATCTGCACGAAAACAGAAACCATGGCAGCGGTGCTGAACACTGTGCCAAGCTTCTCCCACACTCTGAGCCTGGCTGGTTTGCCTTTTGGTCTCCCAGTATGCCAACCTAAAAATGCGGCGTCTCCACAAAACCATACCCATATGTCCCTTTAAACAACCACCAAAATGAAACTCACTTTAGGAAAAAGCCAGGGGAAATGTAGAGAACCCTGCTAAAAGCTTTGCAGACTATCCCTGGATAAGCCATTCGCAGCCAGTGTTCCTTTTGGGTTTGTCAAAACTGGGACTCGAACCCACCCTCCCAAAACATGCTCGTTAAACCAACCTAAAAAGGACACACCCTTTTGGTCGCCCTGTATTTTGTTCGTTCTTTTGGCATCACTGCAGCACTGCATTCACAAAGCTCAAGACCACCGCCCGTAGGCAGCTAATGCCGGCCATCTGATTGCTTCAGCGCTTTACACGTGCTCTTGCACCTACCAACCCCGCGATGCCTTCGCAGCGCTTGTGCAACCACATGATTGCCTGTACACGTCCCTGTACATGTCCCTCTGAGGGAACCATTGCCACGGGCTGGAAATGAAGACGCAACCAGATGTCAGATTCAAAACGGCACAAAACGTGCTGCAAGTGGCCGCTACCGCTCACTTGCACACACCCGAAGGCGCTTTGACCTTCTTGGTCGGCCGAGGGAAGGCTTTGCGGCGACCATCCTTGAAAATCACAGGCTTGTACTCCTCAGGAACACTCTTGTGCATGACGGGGCTGTTTCGGTACCGATCCACGTGAGACTTGAATCCTTGGTGGGGACCACTCCAGCTCACTTGGCAGACCTTGCTCGTTGGCATCGACCATTCGGAGAACCCATCCAGCGCCTTCCACACAGCATCCACTGCAACACTGTCTACCATGTTCACAAAGGCATAGCCAAGGTTTGCCGCACGGTGGAAGTCGCAGGGCAGGTACACAAAGTCATAGCGCCCTGCTAGACCTTGCTCATCAAGCAAAGTCAGAAGCATCTCGCGAGTGTAGTTGTTGGGCAAATTGCGCAGCATCACGGTGGTCCTCTCGGTTGTCGCACTTTGCCTGGGGACGTCTTGCCGGGCATCTCTGGGTTTGCTCTTAGGCTCAACCACAACCTTGCCTTGAGTTTTCTGCGTTGCCTCTTCGGCAGCAGTGCGGCTTCGAGCTTCATGTTCCTCTTGCTGGTCGCTGAACTTGCCCGGCTCGTACACTTCCGGTGCCACCAAGACTCCTGCCAGAACGCTATCTGTCATGACCCGCCGGAGCTTCCTGTAACAAAGAGCCATGCTTTCATCGTCAAAGTCAATGAAGGTACTCCTCACCACAACGTGGCAAGAGCATGTCTCCTCACCTTCCTCGTGCACTGGCTCAGTCGTTGCACTGGAGCGAGGGGACAAGGATTCTGGGGAACTGCTCCGTTCAACGGTTTCAGCATCGCTGGGCACCGTAGCCACCGTGTTCTCTACGACACTGTGGCTCAACTTGCCAATCTGCACGAAAACAGAAACCATGGCAGCGGTGCTGAACACTGTGCCAAGCTTCTCCCACACTCTGAGCCTGGCTGGTTTGCCTTGTGGTCTTACTGTCTGCCAACCTAAAACTGCGGCGTCTCCACAAAACCACACCCATATGTCCCGTTTAAACAACTACCAAAAGGAAACTCACTTTAGGAGAAAGCCACGGGAAATGTAGAGAACCAGAAGCCACCAATTGGAGATCCCCAAAAAACATGTCAAGGCGAAACCACCGCTCGAAAATGGGGAGTGAAAACCACCTAAACCGTGGGCAAACCTGTCCAATCCTTGCCGTGTGAGAAAAATGGCTGAGTATTTTTTGGCAGCCACCCACCAAAATGAACAGAACCCAAAAAAAGAGGAGCAAAGCCCAACAACTTGGCAGGAGCAGTGAAGATCAGGAAATTCGCAGAACCCGAACTCTCCAAACTGTCGAACCATGGCCGTGTCTGGGGAGGGCGGGGTGTCAAAGTATGGCCTCTTGTTGGCCCGTGGTGCCGCCCAAGGTGCCGGGGCAACCAAAACGGGACCCTAGTTTTGACAACCCAACAAAACAATGCAAAAGTTTAAAGTTTGTCAAGTCAGTGAACAGGTTGCAAAGACCAAGAAAGGTGAACACCCCTCGACGTGGAGTGACATATAACACCACTGTTTGCTACGTATGCTGGCTGGTTCTCACTTTAGAAACAACAAAAATACCTGTTCGCAGGTTTTTGTTCTCACTCACTGTGACCCGAGCAAACAACTGCAAACCGGCTCGGAAAAACGGAAAGCGGGGGCCAGTGCGAGCAGATTCTCAAACTGCAATCTGGGGTCTGCGGGAGTGCACTTCTCGGTGAATTCGGTGGGATTTATTTGTGCATATTGCTGTCTTGTCTGTTGTCTGTTTGGGATATGTGCAAGCCGCGTTCTTTTGTGCCGCTCCAACGCACTTCCTGGTTTCTTAAAGAAGTAGACAAACCCCAAGGAAACCAAAAGAAACTAAACAACACTATATGGGTGCGTCTCAAAATATGGGGATCTCTAAAATGGTGGGTTTTTTGGTTTGGTCTCCCTTTAAAACCCACCCCAAGAAGCGTACCCTAAAAACGACACGCCAGTATCATACTTCATCAAAACCCTGAGACATTCTTGCAAAAATAAATAAAAGAAACAAAACGAGAAAAAGAGATTCAACAAAACCAAGAAAAAAAGCAGCAACAACAACAAAAAAGAGGAAAGAGCACAACTTCCTCAGACATTATTCAGGATGTAGCCACACACTGTGCTACGAGTTTTGGGAGAATGGTGATTATTTCTTGTTTGGTTTGCTCGAGGATTTGTTGATATGTGGTTTTGGGCAGGGCTGATTCCGTGGATGTGTGTTTTGAAAGGAACTCCTACTTACAACTTCGAGTACTACATGGAAATTCGAGGTGAACTCCTTTTTGAATAGAATTGTGTTTCAATCTTAAGTGATGTGTAAAGGAAACTCTGTTGGAAAGGAAATCCTGCGTAACTTTCAAGTTGAAGTAGAAAAAGTATGAAACTTCATCAAATCCGTTCCTTATCAAATTCGATTTCTCGAATTGAATTGTAAAGTGCTACTTGGCAATGATTATTTCACTAAATTCTAAGTTTAGTATGAATGTCCTAGAGGATTCAGAATAAGTATAGCTCCTGATTGAGTCTGATTTAAACTCTATTCAGAATTGTTTGGCCGTTTAGAGCGGCCATTGGTAAAGATGTCAACTTACTACAGAAAAACACTACAAAACACTTTGTGTTACGACCATGGCAGTGCTTGAGGCTAGGTAAACACATGATGTTAGGTCGTTGAATTATTTCCTTATGAAAATTGAATTGATATCTTTATCACTTTATCAAACTCTACCAATTTCAAACTGAAATTAAATAGAATCTTGAACTTGGAAATTTGATATTTGGTCTATTTCAAATTATTGGTTATGCTGGATTTCCTTTCCAATCGAATTTCTTCACAAAACAGCTAACATGTAAACACAATTTATTCAAGAAGAGTTCAAGATAGGCAAAGCAAGTGCAAACAATGTGCAGACTTGCATGCACTAGCCAATAATAAAAAATGTGCTCCCACAGTCCCCAGCCTTCAACCAATAGGCACCAAAGTCAACAGAACAAGCACGCTGTCATCACCAGCCAGAATCCCTGTTATTACCAGCCAGCATCTCCGGCCAGAACAAGCATCGCCCAAAATATGCAGGGGATGCAGGGATCTGCAACAGAAAACTCCAGAATCAGACCTCAAAAAAACACTAAATCTAAATTGGGTGCAGTCTAGCATAATCTTTGCGCGAGACAGATGTCACTCCAGACCTTGCCACCCCCCCTGGCCCCTTGCTATTCTGACCCCAACCTCTACCGACCTGCTGCAATAAATCCCAAACCTGAAATAAGGGAACTCCTGATTTACAAGAGCTACATCATAGTGAGCCCTTGTACACCCGAGTTGGTGAGCTTGTCAAAACAGGCAGATTAGTTTCTTGGTTCGTTGTTCTGTGATTGTTAAATGTTATGGTTGCGTCAACCTTACTAGAGGCAAACCAGAACCATACCCAAACAGGGAAATCGAGTTGGACGGTACTTGTGTTGACGTTGTGGGTGACTTTCAGACCAAGATAAGTCAGGATCATAAGATATCATATCATTCATTTAACAATTGCACATGTTACTATAATTCCAGAACCTGAAAGGGATCTTTAAGCAAAGGACCTTTGTCATGGCCTTCGCTGGTGAAAAAAAAAGACATGTGGGGGTTGATCAACACTCCGTTCGGCCCCAAATGACCATGGGCATTTTTCCCGTGTGGTGAAAGTCGAATCTTCTTGGGTGGTCTCCCTCCATAGTATCGCGGACCTTTTGATCAACCCGAATCCGCGAGCTCGCCATGTGGACGAAACCCATTTCGCAGCACCTTGAAGCCATGCAGACACCTGGTTTGTTGGCATTTACGTTGGGGAATCGAATCATTCCCTTAGGATTCTGAACGGTGCTGTGAAGTGGATTTCGCAAGCATCCACACGGTTGTGGTTGATCACCCGGGGGCTGATCCATCCACTGTGATACGTTTGGGAATCCCCGGCTTTATGTGACTAGTCTTTGGGAGGCCCTTTTTGTATCACAGAAGGCAGGCAGAAAACCTTTACATGAAAAAATATAGTTTTTGGGGAGGCCCTTTTCAACCACAGCCCTGTCCACAGGCAGGCCGAAAAAAATAAAAATCCGAGGCGCGCGCCCCGAATGAGGAAACAAAGTCGCCTGCTCCAGCTGCTGCCGCAAGTGTATCAGCTGCTCCCGAAGGTCCAGGGCCTAAACTATTGCTTGTTGCGTTTCGGGGGCCTCGACAACTAAAAGATTCGCCATCCCCTAGGCCTTTTCCTTCGTAAATGGGCTGCCCTCAGATCCCCTGCTAAAAGCTGAACTTTTAGTGGATTAAATGCAAACCACCTGCAAATGACACAGTTGCTGAGAAGGTCCGTCCAACAGATTCAGCATCCAAAAAATGCCGTTTCCTTCGTAAATCAAAGATCTTTGGCTGTTTTGCAGCCAGCTTCACTAACTTCAGGGTTCCCAATATGTTCGTTTGCGTTTGAAACTATCACCTAGGCCAATCCAAACATGGCCCAAAGGGGACCACCACAAAAAAAAGGTCTGATTTTATGACTCTGTTCCATATTTCGTCGACAGTCTATTGGGAGGAGACCCCGGATTTGGGGGACCAAAGGCAAACCTGAAAAAGATGGCCCTTTAACTGTCCAACCCTTGGGAAGGGCGTGCACAAAAAAAAACGGTGTTCTTGCAGCGCACCAAAATAAGAAGAACAACCCCCCCCCCCCACAAAAAAAACAAGAAGCATGGCAGCAACAGTGAAGATTATCTAACCACTTTGAGTTCCTTAGGGGAACCCCTCGTTTGATTCGATTGATTTTCATTCTTTTTGAGGGGAGAATAACCCTTCTGCAAAACAAACGAACAACGACGCCCAACGCCAAAAACCCAAAACCCCAAAAACCCCAAACCCCAAACCCCAAAAACCCAAAACCCCAAACCCCAAAAACCCAAAAACCACAGAAAACCCAAAAACAACACAAAAAAAAAGAAAACCGCGGAAAATCAAAGAAAACCCAAAAACCACAGAGAACCGCGGAAAACCAACGAAAACCCAAAACCCCCAGAAAACACCAAAAACCACCAAGAAACCCAGAAAACCCCAGAAAACCCCAGAAAACAAAAAAAAATACAAGAAAAACAGAAAACCGCGGAAAACCAAAGAAAACCCCAAAACCCCAGAAAACCTCAAAAACCACCAAAAACCACAGAAAACCAAAAAAACCCAGAAAATCCCAGAAAACCCCCCCCCCCAAAAAAAAAAAAAAAACAGAAACCGCGGAAAACCAAAAAACTCCAAAAAACCACAGAACCCCCCCCCCAAAAAAAAAAAAAAACAGAAAACCGCGGAAAACCAAAGAAACTCCAAAAAACCACAGAACCCCCCCCCCAAAAAAAAAAAAAAAAAACGCGGAAAGCCAAAGAAACCCCAAAAACCCTAGAAAACCCAAAACAACACCTTAAAACCCCCAGTTTCCCAGCCCAGAAACGCCCGCCTGGCGCTCGAGCAGCTGCTCCCGCTGCTGCGCGGCGCCCTGCGCCGCCTCCAGGGCCTCCAAGCGGCCGGCCCTCCGTTGCAGCGGAAAAGAATCAGAATCCACGGGAACACGCAAAAAAAAATCCGGGGGCTGCCCAGGAAGCACCCGACTTTTTCTTTCCGCTTTTTTTTGGTGGTTGATGCTAGCTTCGTGGGGGCTGGGGGGGAGGGAGGGGAGGGGGAGGGGAGGGCCAAATAGGCCCCAACTAAGGCCTGAATAGGGGCGTAACCCTCCCCTCCCTCCCCCGAGCCTCCATGATACCTGGCACCTTGTCGTTTTTTGTGCTTAATGCGGATGTGTGAAGTATTCCTGGCGCAAGCTTAAAGAAACACA